TCATTTTTCTTGGTTCACTCTCTCGTCCAGCCTCCTTTTTAAAGGTTTTTCGAAGCCTTTTTTTTCACTTTGGAAACACCGATGCACGCAGTTTCTTTACCTCAGTCGCACTAGTTTCGGTGTTGTCTTCCATTTTTCATCATAATCTGGATTACCCAAAATTATCGTGAACTGTGCCTTTAAACTACTGGCCAGAAGTCACTTCCTATTGATAGGTCCGTTTGTTCTGCGTCCCATTCATAGGTCATAAGTGCTCATGTTTTCAAACGGTCATCCTGAGAAGCTGTGGGAAGGGTAATTCCTTCTTATGGAAAGGTTGTGAGAGAAGCTGTTCCAGGTGAACTCTAAAGAGCTTTCATGAAATGTATCTTGGCATAAAAGATTTATCGTATTCGGTCCTCAGCTATCGCAAGTGAAACTGCCTCGTATAGGGTGAGGTACTGTTCGGGAGTTTGTACCATTCGGCTTCGTTGTCGGCGTAGCGTGTCGACGGTTCTGGAAATGCGGAATGTTTAACGATCGAATCATAGGTCACTCAATACGCCTCTACGATTCTGAATGGAAGTGGAATGCGGGGTCGCATCCCTTGAACGGGATTGATCAACGCCCAAAGACTTTATCCTTTATCTTTTTGTCGTCGTCTTACTCTTTTTTTAGGGAACCTGTTATGGCCCTGGGAGCTTTGCGGACTTGCGCGAGCAATACTATTTAGCGAAGTTCTATTGGAATCTCTCAGTTTCTATTAGTTTTAGTTACCCATGCATAGCTTGTCAGGCTACGACGTAGGGGCTAGATATCCCGGCAGCTAGGCTTTCCCAAATAGCAGAATGGGGTTTACTTATAAGAGTCACGAGCGGGCCAGCCCTCAAGAACCTCCCAGACATCCACACCGCAAGCTCTCTACACATACATGCATGAATGCGCCTGCGAGAAGACAGAAGGTATAAATCAACTGAGCACAACAGAATCGGGGAGACCATCCGGCGAATCCACCTGCGTCCATAGCAGACTTCGGGTCCGTGATTTCACCCTCTTACCACATCAAGGGTCTTTCACTGACAGAGAACCTTCAAAAATAGAGATTCTAATCTCTCTTCTATGCTGCCTAGGAGAAGCCCTTCCACGGTCAACACATTCTCAACTGTATGTGATTCTCAACTGTCTCTTCAGAGCACAGGTCGAGCTGATCCACCAGCTAGTAAAAGGGGTATTACTTTCCTGGATCGGTCTCCCATTACTATGTCATACTCAAGAGACAAGAACACTAGTTCGAGACCTTCACAAGTATTGATGGAACTACCACTGAATTGGCAGGAACTGAGCAAATTCTTGTAATTTTTGTAAGGAGTTAAAGTAGTGGCAAACGTACGCGAAGATATCGACTTTTCTTTCTTGTCGAGCTCTTTCGAGAAGTATCCATAAAGCGATCAGTACACCTGTTCGACCAACACCAGCACTGCAATCACTTTTGTAAGCCCTCCTATCTGGCTCTCAGACCACCAATGTGAATTCCGAGACGACTGTGATCGTTTTTCGGTTCTATTCGGTGATCGAGAATGTTAACATCCCATAGGAGTTTGTTGTAGCATCTTACCTACAATGAACGACAATTGGCTTTCTGTACTGCTTGTGCCAAATCCGTTCAATGAAATCGAGCAAATACGCAGCATTTTCCGGTCCTTTAGCATCATACCAATTGAGGAAATGATATTGCGAGATCTAAAAACAAGCAGTTTTCGGAAGTGAACAGTTGCAGATGGAATTATTTGGGTCGTAATGCCCGTTGTGACAGTCAGAACCAGTCAACCAAATCTAGATTATGTCGACGGAAATTGTGGCGAGATCCCCTATCTGTAAATGGGCAAAGACCTGAGAATGAGGTGGACCTCTGACTTTTCGAACAATTCTTGATTGTAAATAGATGGGCAAAATATTTTCCACTTGGGAGCCGACAGAATTAGCTAAACCTATTTCTTGATTCTGTTTGTGAATTATTTAAAGGCACAGTTCACGATGATTCTGAGTTAACCTATTTGAGTTGTAAAGTAGAAGTAGTGGTAGAGAATAGTAGAAAAGTAGAAGTAGTGGTAGAGAAGAGAAACGACTAGTGGTTCGAGGTTCCAGGATAGGTGGACTTTGTGAATGGTGTGGCCTCCCCGTAAAACTCGTCCGCCCTGTGTGTGGCACACAAACGGTACAATTTTTGGGCCATTATTTATTTATTAATTTGTTTATACGTCCCTATAGATGCGCCGGCTAATCAGTACGCGAACTCAAGACAATTAATGACAGTAAATAGAAAAAAAGTGGAAGAAAAAGAAAAAAAACAAGGGGGGCTGGACCAAGGGACTAGCATACCCATCGAATAAGGAGAGGATTTTGAGGCGAACGCGCTCTAGGCAAGTGTTTCGTTAGAGAATAATAAACTAGGAACGAGAGGGTGTATTCCTGACTAAGGCAGCAAAGGTAAGCTATCGGGCGAACACCTGCACCAGTCGGCCATGGTGCCCATAACGTAAGAGTGAGGTATAACGCCCTATCTAGACTAATTCATCCCAACTAGATATCGCAAGAGCCATTTTCATAGTGGACTGTGCCTTTGAGTAATTCAAACATTGAATTGAGAGTTGGAACAGCTCAATTCAGTGCTTTTACGAAAACATGAAAATGCACCTGTCTNAAAACATGAAAATGCACCTGTCTTCGTTCGCCATTTTTCTTGATGTCGAATTCCCTATGAAGACAGATGGGGTCTTCGGATTCTGAGATCATGTCCACTTCTACCTCGCCAAATCGCTGGACTTCCCCTAGAGAAGGCCAGTACTTTGAACATCGCTGCTGGAATACAGCGATCCTGTTACAGCGATAGTATAACAGAGTGAGAGTAAAAACACTCAATGAACTTACTCTCATATTTTCCACGCAATCAGTGAGCATTATTATACACTGGACATTCTTTTCCCAAATCATACGCCAGAAATCGTCCACCTGGAAATTGACTGTTGGAAAAGGTGGACTACATCCTTCACCAAGGTTTTATGCAGTATAGGTGGGATGCGAAGGAGATCTATGGGGATCATTTCCACTGTCCCGTGAGATGCATTTATAGGTTTTTTCAATGGCATATAACAGATGCCCTCGTAAGTCGTCAGGCGCATGAATGTAGCACGACCCGATCAGTGGACCACGTTACCTACCATGAGAATTCTGTGGAAGTGGAATCTAAGCCTTTAAAAACTGCTTTGAACTTCAGTTCAGGGAGGAGCTAAGTACTAATCGATACATGCAAAGCCAACAGAGAGGTTAACCTCTTTTCATCAGTAAAACTTCCGACACAGGATCAAAAAAGCCTAAAAGATCTAAATGGCTATTAAAATAGCGCCAAGATTTCCCTATACTGTCTGTATTCATGGAATTCCTTTTTGGATCTCATGTAGCAGAAATCATTCTCATAAACCAACAACAGCAAAGTACCCTCATAGATCACCACCATTCTTCCAACAGACCTCTTTACGTTTTTCTCTCTAATTGAAAGAAACGACCACTTACAGTGCTCTTCTTCCTTCCATCAGTAGCTTCTTCAGGGCCAATGGGGCCCTGCGTTGCTATGAATTGGCCAGCAGTGCGGTAGCCCTTAAAGCAAACAGATTACTATTAGGCCTTTGATAGTTCGATGATCATACTCTCAGTAAAGTGGTCACTTCATCTGTTCAGGAAGCAGCGCTGCTAAAAGTATTTAAAAAGCTGCTTACATCGATTAGGCTGGCGTTGATATAATCGTTCGAACCATGAAGTATAACCCTAGTGCTGTCGCCTGAAACACGGTATGAGCGTCCCTGAAGATAAATAGAACTCCACTTACTAGGTAAAATATCAACGAATCGGTTCCGCGTTCGTTCTTTTTCAGCGGCAGAACAGTTGCGCTCCCTTACCGAATCCAATTCTTCGAGAATCTGATATAAGTAGCTTAGATGACAAGTAAAACGGGTGCCTTATTTCGATGCTATCCCCACCTGGAACTCTTCATAAAGCACCGCATCGTCCTCATTACGTATTCTGCTGAGATCTCTCATGAAGTTGTCAAGTGTATGTTCTCTGCAAGAAAGATGCATCTCTGGTAGTCACAGTCAAGTAAAATGAAGCACTTACGATTGTACTGCTTCCGCTTGAGCAGCTTTAGCCAAATCTGGAGAGAGTTTGATTCTGCATGGTCTGAATGGTCCCTTTAACGAAATTCTTCAAGTTTTTTCAGATATCCTTGTTCCTCAGGGAGGAATAGTAGGAAAGTCCGAATTGTTTGATTCCAGCTGGTGGAAAATAAGCTATTTTCTATTTTCCACAGGTGAGGGTAGGATAACTTTTGCCTTGATTCCTTTTCAGCGAGATAAGAGTCTCCAAACCGGCTTAGCCGACGTACACACCCGAATGCGGACGAGTACTCACGGTGTTGAAGAGACTGTAATGTTGCACCATTCACACGTTGCATGCACTCAGTTCACTGTAGCCATTTATATGCAGTGGCACACACATTTGGACAACTCGTCCAAATACTCCTTCTTCGCGACATCTCTCGTCACATTCTCGTCCAAGCCCTAACTTTAGTTCTTTTCCAAAGCTTAATACTTCTCTAAACGCGTCGATTTCCGTCTTTCCTTCAATTTTGGAAAAGAACTAAAATTAGGGCTCGGCACTATTCTATACTAATCATCCCATTATTCGTCTAAAACTAGATACCCCAAAATTGACCGTGACCTGTGGCTCTGAGAGCCGTAAGGGGAATATATGCAAGAAAAGCCGTCAGGAAACGCCATATGCATGACAGCTCTTATTCCTAATACAAAAATGATCGAAAGCGAGGTGAGGCTTTCGTTGTACGCCAATGGCTGCTTTCATAGTCCGCCGGCCGGCCGGCCGGCGTGCCGGCGGAGGCAGTGCTAGGGAGGAGGAGGAAGGCAGACAGATAGGCAAAAAGTCCGCGCCCCTTCGGGGGTTGTTTGTTTTCAGCCCCTCGAAGGGGCGTGGACTGTCTGCCTATCTGCGGCCGGCGGACTATGAAAGCAGCCAATGACTTCTGCGCTGATCTCCTAATATTTGTGATTTGCGACTTACGGGTGAAACTGGAGCAGACTCACCGATGAGAGCGCTTGATGGAATTCGAGCTACGATGGATTTCTTCATGGCTTCTGATCTCTGAATGTTCTTCGACCCTAATAACAGAAGATTCTTTAATGCCGCTGTCCTTTGTCTCCGCCTTTTGGTTATCGTCTATTCGTACTGGCACATTTGTTGCTGAAGGTCTCGACACGAAACGCGGCGCTTCCCCATTCTTGGCAGCGGCGCTGATAGTCGGAGGATGGTCGAGGTAGTACCTGAATGAGTAAAAACAAATAGTTGAAAACTTGAACAAGCCTATTTGACTAAATGTAGCTCTGGTGGCCTCACATCCAGCCATCTGCCGACTGAAGTTCAGCATCAGTAATTCTTATGCCTTAATCCCGTGTCCCAGTCTTATTCAGACTTGAATCCATCCGTTTGTCCAATTCTCAGGAGAAATATACGGGTGGTCACGCAGGAGTCTGGTGAAGTCTAAAGAACTGTAGCATTGCCCGTTAGATATACATGGAAGATCGGGCTTCTCTCCCAACTCGTCATTCTACCTTGCCGGCTCAGCGAAATCAGGTCAGACTTTTTTAGAGGGGGAGACTATCACGGACTAGTCTACCAGTTTAGTGTTGTTCGTTGTCTTTCTGATACCAAAATCCCAACGGGAAAGAAAAAGTGAAACAGGCGTTCTGTTCCAAATACATTCGACATTGAAAAGGACCAGCCTATACCTCTCCCATTTCCGTTGGCATCCCGGACCGATTTCCGTCTAGGTCAATCAGGCCTTACTCCCAGTGGGTTCCTTAATTGCTACCTGACTCGTCTGGGAGGATAAAAGCAGTGGTTTGTACATCGGATGGCCACCACAAGTTATTGTATAGGCCACAGAAGCATTCAAAACGCCACTACGATACTAAAAGGGAGTCGAATGCGGGGCGCATCCCTCAGAAGCGATCAATCAACTTCAGAAGACTTTATTCTCTACTTCCTGTAGACTTTGGGGTTCAGGACGTTAGGGCCACATTATGGATAGGCAGGTGATATGGTTAGTGATGAAGAACCCTCGGGCCCATCCCTAGAGTTCGCACTTGCGAAGATACCCCACCAATCCGAGAAAGCAAAAAGGCACTCACTCTTTTGCAGCAGCCACCTTCGCTGAGGAACCCGGCGATTTCCCTTGCAATTTTCTACGTTTAAGAATCAGTAATAGAAAAATTGCGATTGAGGCGAATATTGAAAGAACCGTGCCTAAGCAGATCAGCACAATATCGATCGCTAAAATGAAAAATCGATAGCCAATCGATGACACAATCACCAACATGAATACTGAAGTTCTCCTACCTTCAAGCATGTTTGATGTTATGTCAAAGTTTACCGCACATTCACAGCGTAAACATAGATTCGCATCTGGGAGTCGGTCGTAACCGATCGATCCGAGTTTTCGATCGATTCAGGAATTTGGTCTTCAAAAAATCAATGGCGCTTATTTGTACGAACAACATTGCAGCAATGTGCCGAATGCAAAACATCATTGCAAAGCTGTGGAGAGAGGTTTTGATGGAGAGAGCTTAGAAATGCAGCGGAAGAGACACCTACGAGAAGGCCCGGGGCTAGTTGGTAGCCAAAAGCCTGTTCAATCAAGGAGGAGGAAGGGTGCTGGAGGCGTTCCAACGAGATCCTAGCCTCTTAAATTAGCCTAGGAAAATGAGCATATGAAATTTATTCCGTCTTGGAATGTGAAGCAGCCTTACTATTATCACGACATAGTTCCATGGCAGCTGGACCTCCCACGTAAAAGTGTCTATGAAAGTGCTGCTAACCCATTAGTATGCGGAAACCCAGAGAACGGGAGAGATGGGAGGTGGGAGAGCGGTGTGTCGTTAGCACATTTTCGTCACAATGGGAATTTATGCACGTCATTGCCTGAAGAATACACTGCAATTTGTCATAATATATGGATGAAAACTTGGAATTTTTACGGATCTTGAGCATGTGGTTCCATCGTAGACATTGAAGGGCAGTCCAAAACCCAGTGCTGATGACCACTGGCGCTCCTGACCCCGTGGACTTCTGAGGCTACCGCACCCGGGACGTTTAGTTGATAGCTACGTTGATTCCAGGTGTTCATGGATTATGGGGATCTACTGACCTGAGATTTTCACTGCCTCATCTCAATGCTGCACCCACAGCGATGATCGCTCACGTGAAACGCTCCCAGAACGGCTTCAAACGGGGGCAATCAACTGGCGAAAGGAGTAAACAATCACTGACTTAACGGTGAGTTCAGTAACACTTATCGAATCAGAAGCTATGGACGAGTTTCACGATAATGTGGGGGGTTTCAGACTTGGGGTCATGTAGTGGCTATCACGGAGAACATTTAACTTCCAAGTTGTCCGGTTATAACAGTGGGCCTCAAGAGTTGAGAGCAGGCAGAGACTTTGAATGAGAGAGTTTCGGGGTTTTCGTAGCAAAATTTGAGGCAAACACATGGAAATGCAAATGTTTTGCGTTGCTATAGTCATTACGCAGGGCAAGACTAGACTCGAAAATAGCTGCCCATCATAACACCACAGGAATGCGAAGTAATAGCAGTTGCAGATGTTCGACGGATAACCAGACATTAAATTATCTTCCTCGACTGCTGNTGGCTTGAAGAATTTGCCTTCCTCCCAATTTCGAGAAAAAATGTGGGCAAAGAGATGGAAGCAAGTTAGAAAGAAACCGTCGACTAATTTGATAAGAACGGCGGTTGAGCGGTGGGTTGCCAGTCAGAAAGTCGTCCCAAACCATGTTTGGCATTGAAACTATACGCTTGCCATATCGAATGTCGGAGAAATGCACTAGTTAACCTGTTCTATAGAATAGTAACGACACATCAACTTTAACTAAACGAGCACACATTTGATTGAGTTTTGGGTGGAAGCGTAGACGAAATCAGAGGGGAAGGACAGTTGTATTTGTGTTGGGGCGAATCGGAAATAATGCGATTTTACATAGATTGCACTTTGGGTTGCTGTGCAGTGACGAGACCGGGCCCATACTGCTCCACGGGATCGCCCATAAACGCCGCCACTACAGAGCAGAGGATTATCGAGAACAAAGTGGCAATGAACATAAAACTTGGACAGCAGTGGATGTGGTCTAGATGGTATGGCTCGGGTCATGAGCAAGATAACATCTTTGGACGGGAACAATTGCGACCAACACTATCGTCGTCCAGTCACATCATTCAGTTGAATCTAGTCGTTTTCTCGATTGGGTAGTCGTTAAAAATCGGCGCCAGGGTGTAAATCCCCAGATAATCGACGGGCAAACATTCATGATGAGTCGGGATATATGGCTATAGTGCCCCGTCATACATTACAAGGTTAGCATTTGTGCAGTGAACCAGAGCAATGTATCCAAAAGTGACTCCCGAATGCTTCAGCTGGGAGTCACTTGGGAGGTACAATGTTTGATTACAGGGACAACTTACCTTCTACTACTGCAAGAGATAAGAGAAGAACGATCTTTATGTACTGTAGGAGTTCAGTATGCTCTTTATCACTTCGTTCATATGCATCATTTTGTTTGTCAAGTCCACTCGGGGTGTAATCAGTTTGAATAAGCTGCAGTACAAATAACAAGGTCAGAACGACAGGAGAGGCTTAGCGTCTATGTTACTCAACTTTGATGAGCGACGGTAACAAACTGGCCAAGTACGTCAATGTTAAATTCACAGTCCACTGTAAAAATGGTCTCTGGGATTCCCTCTAAGGATGAATCTGTCGATTCCAAAGTTGGCAGGTGTGACAATGTCTGGTGAAAGACGACCTCGACAGCCTTGACAGGGAGTTATGAGGTCTCCAAAGCTGGCTTGATTGACGTAAACTCCCAAAGGCGACCATGTTATGTCGGCTCTCGTAAGGGCACAATTCTCATTGAAAGTGGTTTTTGAAATTTCTTCTTAGGATGAATCTGGTACCCCCAAGGATTGCATAAGAGACGCTGTAGGGCCGAAAAATGGACCAATTAGGGCATAATAAGGACAAAAACCGGTCTAGTCGATGACTCACCCAAAGCGGACGAGTTATCACGGCGTTGTAGAGGCTGAAGAGGTTGCACCATTCGTACCGGGACTAATACTTGGACGCAGGCAGCTTACTGTAACCAGTTATGAGCAATATCCTGGACCACTATGTAGCTCGGCCTAAATGCCCTTCCCTCGCAGATTTTGTCGTCACATTCTCTTCCAACTCTTAATTTTACAGTTGTTTTTTTAAGCCCATTATGGCTTTAAATACCTCGATTTTCGTGCTTTCTTTGGCTTTTTCGCACTTATCCGAAATGTCGCTTCCATTTTTCGTCTAAATTAGATCCCCAAAAATACAGTGAACTGGGCCTCAAAGGCTGCACCATCATCAACAAAGCGTTGGGACACCGTCTAATAGTACACTTTTGTGAGAGACACTCAGACGGTCGAAGTTGAATCTTGAAAAGTTATTGGGCACATATAGTCCCGGCAAATTATTAACTGGGGAAGTCAACAGATTAGCGAAAACGAGGGGCAATGAATGAGCGTAAGTCACCCACATTTCTATCGTGGACAGGGTTTGAATCTCCGAATTCCGCTTTGCATTGCATCTACATATCGGAAACTCGGGTCATTATTTCTTTCATGGCGTCCTGAACATCTCTGACATTGTATTGCCAATCTAGAGGGCAGGTTTCTGAAGATGATCTTATACTGCTTTGTTTTATCCACCACTCTCTCAGTATTCATATGAACCCTTGCCACTCGCTCATTCCTAAGGGCTCATTCGGAGGTTTCAAAAACTCAAAAAGTTAAAACAATGAGGCGTTCACACAGAAACATCGTCTGGGATGGCTTTACAGTCATCTTCAGTGAGAACTAGCTCCACACGCTAGAACTTCCTTATGATTAGCACAGCGTCCTCAGCGAAACGGATGCTATAGATCTGACGGCCGTCAGGTGGCTCCAACACCTTCACATTTAAGTTAGGAGATGATGGCCCCTGAGGCTAGGAGATGAGTTTATTGCGTGTGTAAGCGCAGTCGGAATTCGCGTTCATTTCCTCATAGAAAGGTGAATGGGATCTGTGTGCGTGATTCATAGAGAAAAGTTCAATAGATATGACCCATTCCACTAGTTCACCCTGGAGACAGCTGAAGAAACTGGTGGTCTGCTTTCCATCCTGAAGTGGCATGTAAAAGCTTTATTATTAGGTGCGTCGAAGGAGCTAGAATTTCCTTGGAAAAAANAAAAAAGAGGTGCGAGCAGAACAACAATTTCGAAGTTCACTGTTTAGATGTTCTTCATTGTACCTAAGCGCTTAACAAACAGATAATCTACGTAGTCCTTCTGGTACAAAGCTCACTGAATCTCACAATAAACTAACATACTTGTTTCCTTGCGGGCGAAGGTGATGTAGCGACAAGTGGTCACTATCATACACGGTTAAGGGTTCGAATCCCGGCTCGATATCCGCCAAACCTTTCATCCCTCCGGGGTTGCTTAAGTGGCACCATACTCGTCTGGAAAAACAAAGGCACCGACTTGTATATCGGCTAGTCACCGCAATTCATTGTTTCCCCTCGGTAGGCCACATACGCATTCAATACCCCACTTATTGTTAGATCCTGAATGGAAGGCGAATGCGTGGGCGCATCCCAGTGACGGGATTGGGAGACTTCACACTTTTTTCCTTACTCCTCCTGCACTGTACTTTTCTGGGAGGTGTTCCGTACTGTCCCGTGCTATCGGGAGCCGACAACTAAATTGAAATCACCCCGAACAATAGCTTCGGAGTTCTCTCTATTTCCTCGTAGACGGCTCGACTTCGTCGTCCTCCGCTTTGAACAATTTTGAGCGTGCTGTTCCCCAGTGACTGACACCAAAAGACGTTATCCTTTATCGTTTCCATCTGCTGTGAAAAGGATCAGCAAGCGGAGACAAAGGTTTCAGTGTTATTACGAAACTCGTCCATTATAGAAGAGGAATGACTATTGCATTTCATTATCATACGTGGTGGGAAAAGATGACGGAGAAAAGATTTGAATGAAAATCCCGATTTCTGCGACAAAATTTGCTTGCATCAGGTATTTCTCGGTACTCGACAAATTTGAAGGAGAAGAGTGAATCAAGCGATGTTGTTGGGGTAGGTGGCGACCTTCAAAAATTGTCTAACGTGTGGATGCCCTCTGGACCATCCCTCCCCCTTCCCCTTGGATGGGCATTGAAGCAGTTAGTGTGTATGTCAAGCAATTTCGCTGATGCTTACAACAGTTTTGAAGTGGCGGCCAGGACTGGTTGTGCTAGCGATATGGTCCCTTGTTGACGATTTCTGT